ATGGTCCCCCCCCCCCCGGCTCGCGGGCTCCTCACAGGGACGTTGTTTTATCCTCCTGCCTCCTCGCCGGCTCCTCGTCGTCCTCCTCCAGCGCCTCGTTGTCATAGGGGTTTGCCACGTGCCTGCCGAACGGAGCAAGGAAATGCAGATCCCAGGGCTGGGCGGGGGTGAGCGGGCCGCTCCCTAGGATGCCTGGACCCGTGTTCATTAGCTACTCCCTGGCTCCCCGGCCCTGCTCCCATGCCTTTGGATCACAGGTGTCCCAGGGGCCTGAACAGGTGTGAATTAGTCACACCCACACCCTGGACATGGCTCTAATCCTAGCAAGCCAGTCATCACCTCTGGCCTCTCATTTGCCACTGCACGGCTGGTCACAGCCACCTGGGCCCTGAGGGCAGCAGCAGGGACAAAACCCAGAGCCTCCTGCTCAGCTCCTAAGCTGCAGGAGGATCATCACTGGACAGTAGCAGTATAGAGCACATGACATGCATCTGAGAAATCCCAGCTGCAGAGTGTAGCTGCAAGGGGATGCCTCCCCCCCGAGACCTCCCCCCTCCCCCGAGAAGATGCTTGCTTTGTCACCAGTCCTGCTGAGGGTCTGGCAGGCCACACTGAGAGCAGCCCCCTTGCCTTCCAGTTCTATCCAGCCCGCTGCTCACGCACGAGCCCCTGAACACACACACACACTCCCTGCACACACACAGCCCCCCCAACACACACACAATCCCTGTGTAACAGCTATAGGGTGGATTCAAACCTGGGATCTCTGGAACTTAGTGTGGGCACTAAGGCTATGTCTACCGCCGTTCTTGCGCAAAAACTTGCCCGCTGACTACACTGCACGAGCGTTCTTGTGCAAGTAAATGGACAGTCTAGCGTTGGAAAACGGCTTCTTCCGGAAGAGTCACTCCTCTCCCCACGAGGAAGAAGCCCTCTCGTGCAAGAGCTCTTCCACAAGAGGCCGTGTAGACAGGCAACATGAATTCCTTGCACAAGAAGCCCCTCTGGCTAAAATGGCCATCAGAGCTTTCTTGCGCAAGAGAGCGTCCACACTGCTATGGATGCTCTTGTGCAAAAGCCCATGCCAGTGTGGACGTGCTCTTGTGGAAGATTTTTGGCACGAGAACTCTTCAGCAAAAGAGTTCTTGTGCAAGAGGTCACCAGTGTAGACGTAGCCTTGGTGTAGGAACTCAGAGCTGGGCTGGCTCTGGGCGGGTGTCCCTGGCGGGGCCGGAGCTCCCCGGGGCCAGGCTGGCTCTGGGCGGGGGTCCCTGGCGGGGCCGGAGCTCCCCGGGGCCAGGCTGGCTCTGGGCGGGGGTCCCTGGCGGGGCCGGAGCTCCCCGGGGCCAGGCTGGCTCTGGGCGGGGGTCCCTGGCGGGGCCGGAGCTCCCCGGGGCCAGGCTGGCTCTGGGCGGGGGTCCCTGGCGGGGCCGGAGCTCCCCGGGGCCAGGCTGGCTCTGGGCGGGGGTCCCTGGCGGGGCCGGAGCTCCCCGGGGCCAGGCTGGCTCTGGGCGGGGGTCCCTGGCGGGGCCGGAGCTCCCCGGGGCCAGGCTGGCTCTGGGCGGGGGTCCCTGGCGGGGCCGGAGCTCCCCGGGGCCAGGCTGGCTCTGGGCGGGGGTCCCTGGCGGGGCCGGAGCTCCCCGGGGCCAGGCTGGCTCTGGGCGGGGGTCCCTGGCGGGGCCGGAGCTCCCCGGGGCCAGGCTGGCTCTGGGCGGGGGTCCCTGGCGGGGCCGGAGCTCCCCGGGGCCAGGCTGGCTCTGGGCGGGGGTCCCTGGCGGGGCCGGAGCTCCCCGGGGCCAGGCTGGCTCTGGGCGGGGGTCCCTGGCGGGGCCGGAGCTCCCCGGGGCCAGGCTGGCTCTGGGCGGGGGTCCCTGGCGGGGCCGGAGCTCCCCGGGGCCAGGCTGGCTCTGGGCGGGGGTCCCTGGCGGGGCCGGAGCTCCCCGGGGCCAGGCTGGCTCTGGGCGGGGGTCCCTGGCGGGGCCGGAGCTCCCCGGGGCCAGGCTGGCTCTGGGCGGGGGTCCCTGGCGGGGCCGGAGCTCCCCGGGGCCAGGCTGGCTCTGGGCGGGGGTCCCTGGCGGGGCCGGAGCTCCCCGGGGCCAGGCTGGCTCTGGGCGGGGGTCCCTGGCGGGGCCGGAGCTCCCCGGGGCCAGGCTGGCTCTGGGCGGGGGTCCCTGGCGGGGCCGGAGCTCCCCGGGGCCAGGCTGGCTCTGGGCGGGGGTCCCTGGCGGGGCCGGAGCTCCCCGGGGCCAGGCTGGCTCTGGGCGGGGGTCCCTGGCGGGGCCGGAGCTCCCCGGGGCCAGGCTGGCTCTGGGCGGGGGTCCCTGGCGGGGCCGGAGCTCCCCGGGGCCAGGCTGGCTCTGGGCGGGGGTCCCTGGCGGGGCCGGAGCTCCCCGGGGCCAGGCTGGCTCTGGGCGGGGGTCCCTGGCGGGGCCGGAGCTCCCCGGGGCCAGGCTGGCTCTGGGCGGGGGTCCCTGGCGGGGCCGGAGCTCCCCGGGGCCAGGCTGGCTCTGGGCGGGGGTCCCTGGCGGGGCCGGAGCTCCCCGGGGCCAGGCTGGCTCTGGGCGGGGGTCCCTGGCGGGGCCGGAGCTCCCCGGGGCCAGGCTGGCTCTGGGCGGGGGTCCCTGGCGGGGCCGGAGCTCCCCGGGGCCAGGCTGGCTCTGGGCGGGGGTCCCTGGCGGGGCCGGAGCTCCCCGGGGCCAGGCTGGCTCTGGGCGGGGGTCCCTGGCGGGGCCGGAGCTCCCCGGGGCCAGGCTGGCTCTGGGCGGGGGTCCCTGGCGGGGCCGGAGCTCCCCGGGGCCAGGCTGGCTCTGGGCGGGGGTCCCTGGCGGGGCCGGAGCTCCCCGGGGCCAGGCTGGCTCTGGGCGGGGGTCCCTGGCGGGGCCGGAGCTCCCCGGGGCCAGGCTGGCTCTGGGCGGGGGTCCCTGGCGGGGCCGGAGCTCCCCGGGGCCAGGCTGGCTCTGGGCGGGGGTCCCTGGCGGGGCCGGAGCTCCCCGGGGCCAGGCTGGCTCTGGGCGGGGGTCCCTGGCGGGGCCGGAGCTCCCCGGGGCCAGGCTGGCTCTGGGCGGGGGTCCCTGGCGGGGCCGGAGCTCCCCGGGGCCAGGCTGGCTCTGGGCGGGGGTCCCTGGCGGGGCCGGAGCTCCCCGGGGCCAGGCTGGCTCTGGGCGGGGGTCCCTGGCGGGGCCGGAGCTCCCCGGGGCCAGGCTGGCTCTGGGCGGGGGTCCCTGGCGGGGCCGGAGCTCCCCGGGGCCAGGCTGGCTCTGGGCGGGGGTCCCTGGCGGGGCCGGAGCTCCCCGGGGCCAGGCTGGCTCTGGGCGGGGGTCCCTGGCGGGGCCGGAGCTCCCCGGGGCCAGGCTGGCTCTGGGCGGGGGTCCCTGGCGGGGCCGGAGCTCCCCGGGGCCAGGCTGGCTCTGGGCGGGGGTCCCTGGCGGGGCCGGAGCTCCCCGGGGCCAGGCTGGCTCTGGGCGGGGGTCCCTGGCGGGGCCGGAGCTCCCCGGGGCCAGGCTGGCTCTGGGCGGGGGTCCCTGGCGGGGCCGGAGCTCCCCGGGGCCAGGCTGGCTCTGGGCGGGGGTCCCTGGCGGGGCCGGAGCTCCCCGGGGCCAGGCTGGCTCTGGGCGGGGGTCCCTGGCGGGGCCGGAGCTCCCCGGGGCCAGGCTGGCTCTGGGCGGGGGTCCCTGGCGGGGCCGGAGCTCCCCGGGGCCAGGCTGGCTCTGGGCGGGGGTCCCTGGCGGGGCCGGAGCTCCCCGGGGCCAGGCTGGCTCTGGGCGGGGGTCCCTGGCGGGGCCGGAGCTCCCCGGGGCCAGGCTGGCTCTGGGCGGGGGTCCCTGGCGGGGCCGGAGCTCCCCGGGGCCAGGCTGGCTCTGGGCGGGGGTCCCTGGCGGGGCCGGAGCTCCCCGGGGCCAGGCTGGCTCTGGGCGGGGGTCCCTGGCGGGGCCGGAGCTCCCCGGGGCCAGGCTGGCTCTGGGCGGGGGTCCCTGGCGGGGCCGGAGCTCCCCGGGGCCAGGCTGGCTCTGGGCGGGGGTCCCTGGCGGGGCCGGAGCTCCCCGGGGCCAGGCTGGCTCTGGGCGGGGGTCCCTGGCGGGGCCGGAGCTCCCCGGGGCCAGGCTGGCTCTGGGCGGGGGTCCCTGGCGGGGCCGGAGCTCCCCGGGGCCAGGCTGGCTCTGGGCGGGGGTCCCTGGCGGGGCCGGAGCTCCCCGGGGCCAGGCTGGCTCTGGGCGGGGGTCCCTGGCGGGGCCGGAGCTCCCCGGGGCCAGGCTGGCTCTGGGCGGGGGTCCCTGGCGGGGCCGGAGCTCCCCGGGGCCAGGCTGGCTCTGGGCGGGGGTCCCTGGCGGGGCCGGAGCTCCCCGGGGCCAGGCTGGCTCTGGGCGGGGGTCCCTGGCGGGGCCGGAGCTCCCCGGGGCCAGGCTGGCTCTGGGCGGGGGTCCCTGGCGGGGCCGGAGCTCCCCGGGGCCAGGCTGGCTCTGGGCGGGGGTCCCTGGCGGGGCCGGAGCTCCCCGGGGCCAGGCTGGCTCTGGGCGGGGGTCCCTGGCGGGGCCGGAGCTCCCCGGGGCCAGGCTGGCTCTGGGCGGGGGTCCCTGGCGGGGCCGGAGCTCACCTGGAGGTGTTACTGACTCTCCTGTCACCAGGAGATGAGCCATGGGCAGATCCATTTCTTAGGGCCAATAGGCACAAGGCTGCTGGCAGTTCAGGCTATTCATGGCAGTTCCTAGTTGGGAGGAGTCCAGCCAGAGCCCTTATTTGACCTCTGCCCGTAGGCCTTGGGCACCCCACAGTTTCCTCCCTATGTAGCCTGTGGGGCAGGGCAGAGCCGTTCCCCCTTGTCCAGAGGGGGACTAAGGCCCAGAAAGACGGAGCTTCTGGCCCAAGGGAGCCAGTGGAAGAGCTGGGAATTATAATCTGATTGCCAGGCCAGCACCCAGGCACTAGGCCCTGCTTCCCCTCGGGCCCAGCTGCCCACCCCAGAGCAGTGGGGCTGGCATGCGGCCAGGGTTAACTCTACCTGGTCCTCCTCGTTCCTGTGGAAAGAGCAAGGATACAGGGAATCAGAGGGCACTGGGCAGCCAGCGCCAAGAGATGCCTCCCCACTGGCATCCGAGTGCCATGGGGCAGCACAGTGCCTGTCCCAGCTGCAGCGGGACCCTTGGCCAGCTCTGTGGGTGCTGGCCACAGAACGCGTCTGTCCCAGTGCCCAGCCGGGTGATCACACAAAGGCCCTGGTGAGACCCTGTTGGTTGAACAATTTTCCAGCCAGATGGCTTTGAATTCCCACCAGGAAAATGGACGGGTGTGAATGCTCCAGGGGGGTGAATTCAAAGCAGAAACTGCATCATAGTGATCATAACGCACTCTCCCCCCAGAGAGCCAGGATCGGGGCCTTTCCATCCTCCGCACAGATCTCTGCTACTTGCGCTAAATGGGGGAGGGACTCGCGGAGGTAGTAGGCTGTTATCCTCCGCCTGGGCCAGTCACTGGGAGGCGCCTACTAGTGCTTTTGTGAGCCAGAAGAGGCATGAAGGGAAGCAGGAACTGGTGGGGCTTCTCCTGGCTCTCCACAGGACTATCATCTACACCAGAGCTTCTCAGCCTGTGGGCCGGGACCCCAAACTGGGACAGATGCAGTCGCCTCATCTCCAAAAAGATCTATTGGCATTGGAAAAAGTTTAGAAAGGGGCAACAGAAATGCTGAGGGGTTTGGAATGGGTCCCATATGAAGAGAGATTAAAAAGGCTTGGACTTTTTAGCTTAGAAAACAGAAGGATATGACAGAGGTCTACAAAATCATGACTGATATGGAAAAAGTGAATAAGGAAAAGTGATTTACTTATTCCCACAATAAAGGAACTAGGGGGTCACCAAATGAAATTAATAGGCAGCAGGTTTAAAACAAACAAAAGGAAGGTTTTTTTTCACTTGGCGCATAGTCAACCTGTGGAACTCCTCGCCAGAGGATGCGGTGAAGGCTAGGACTTTAAGAGGGTTCAAAAAAGAGCTAGAGATTCATGGAGGTGAGGTCCATCAATGGCTATTCGCCTGCATGGGTAGGAATGGTGTCCCTGGCCTTTCTTTGTCTGCAGGTGGGTGACAGGGGAGGGATCATGTGAGGATTCCCTCCCTCTGGGGCACCTGGTGCTGGCCACTGTGGGCAGACAGGACACTGGGCTGGATGGCCCTTTGGTCCGACCCCGTCTGGCCTTTCTTATGCTCTTAAGGGTCATGTGGCAGGTGCTGCAGCTCCTGTCACCTGCGCTCACCTCTGCGCCAGGCGCTGCGACCGCCGGGCTTCCTGCACAGGCCAGGAGGCCTAACTGTCATGACGACGGAGCCCGGATGGGCCAAATCTCAGAGAATGGCACTGCCACCCCGGCAGCCAGGCACTGCTCCACTCACCCCAGCGGGGCCTCATTGGTGGCAGGGCCGAACGGGAGCAGCACTGCCCCCCCGGCAGCCAGGCACTGCTCCACTCACCCCAGCGGGGCCTCATTGGTGGCAGGGCCGAACGGGAGCAGCACTGCCCCCCCGGCAGCCAGGCACTGCTCCACTCACCCCAGCGGGGCCTCATTGGTGGCAGGGCCGAACGGGAGCAGCACTGCCCCCCCGGCAGCCAGGCACTGCTCCACTCACCCCAGCGGGGCCTCATTGGTGGCAGGGCCGAACGGGAGCAGCACTGCCCCCCCGGCAGCCAGGCACTGCTCCACTCACCCCAGCGGGGCCTCATTGGTGGCAGGGCCGAACGGGAGCAGCACTGCCCCCCCGGCAGCCAGGCACTGCTCCACTCACCCCAGCGGGGCCTCATTGGTGGCAGGGCCGAACGGGAGCAGCACTGCCCCCCCGGCAGCCAGGCACTGCTCCACTCACCCCAGCGGGGCCTCATTGGTGGCAGGGCCGAACGGGAGCAGCACTGCCCCCCCGGCAGCCAGGCACTGCTCCACTCACCCCAGCGGGGCCTCATTGGTGGCAGGGCCGAACGGGAGCAGCACTGCCCCCCCGGCAGCCAGGCACTGCTCCACTCACCCCAGCGGGGCCTCATTGGTGGCAGGGCCGAACGGGAGCAGCACTGCCCCCCCGGCAGCCAGGCACTGCTCCACTCACCCCAGCGGGGCCTCATTGGTGGCAGGGCCGAACGGGAGCAGCACTGCCCCCCCGGCAGCCAGGCACTGCTCCACTCACCCCAGCGGGGCCTCATTGGTGGCAGGGCCGAACGGGAGCAGCACTGCCCCCCCGGCAGCCAGGCACTGCTCCACTCACCCCAGCGGGGCCTCATTGGTGGCAGGGCCGAACGGGAGCAGCACTGCCCCCCCGGCAGCCAGGCACTGCTCCACTCACCCCAGCGGGGCCTCATTGGTGGCAGGGCCGAACGGGAGCAGCACTGCCCCCCCGGCAGCCAGGCACTGCTCCACTCACCCCAGCGGGGCCTCATTGGTGGCAGGGCCGAACGGGAGCAGCACTGCCCCCCCGGCAGCCAGGCACTGCTCCACTCACCCCAGCGGGGCCTCATTGGTGGCAGGGCCGAACGGGAGCAGCACTGCCCCCCCGGCAGCCAGGCACTGCTCCACTCACCCCAGCGGGGCCTCATTGGTGGCAGGGCCGAACGGGAGCAGCACTGCCCCCCCGGCAGCCAGGCACTGCTCCACTCACCCCAGCGGGGCCTCATTGGTGGCAGGGCCGAACGGGAGCAGCACTGCCCCCCCGGCAGCCAGGCACTGCTCCACTCACCCCAGCGGGGCCTCATTGGTGGCAGGGCCGAACGGGAGCAGCACTGCCCCCCCGGCAGCCAGGCACTGCTCCACTCACCCCAGCGGGGCCTCATTGGTGGCAGGGCCGAACGGGAGCAGCACTGCCCCCCCGGCAGCCAGGCACTGCTCCACTCACCCCAGCGGGGCCTCATTGGTGGCAGGGCCGAACGGGAGCAGCACTGCCCCCCCGGCAGCCAGGCACTGCTCCACTCACCCCAGCGGGGCCTCATTGGTGGCAGGGCCGAACGGGAGCAGCACTGCCCCCCCGGCAGCCAGGCACTGCTCCACTCACCCCAGCAGGGCCTCATTGGGGGTAGGGCCGAACTGGAGCAGCACTGCCAGCCTGGAGGTTGCAGTGCCCAGAGCAGAGAGCTGAGTCCCACCAGCCCCACACACAGGGCCTGCAGGAGCCGCCGCTGCGGGTTGAGCATCAGGCAGGACCGACCCCCTCCTGGTGGGCAGGACCTGACCAAAACCAGCCCAGGGCCTCCCCCAGACTAGTTAGTGGGTCGCGACAGGCCATGAGCATTACAGAGGGGGCCTGCGCACGCAGCGGTGGAGACCCACTGGCCCAGGGTGTGCAGCCGCCACAGCCAAGCACTTGGGTTCGGCTGATGGCTCTGAAAGGCGGGAGCTTGAGCCCCAGCTCTTTTGCCCTCTCAGCCAAGCAGACAGCAAGTCTGGTACCTCCTGCCATGGAGGGATGGGCCGGGCCCTGCGCTGCCCAGAGACGCTGTCAAGTGCGTCCAAGGGAGAGACAGCACCAGAATCCATGCTGCTGTCCCGCTGGCTCCCGGGCCAGCTCCCCTCCCTGCCGCTGCCGGTCCACAGCCCAGGCTCCGCAGCTGCCTGCAAGCGCTGCAGAGCAGCTTCCGCAGGCCTGGCGCTCGGCCAAACCCCGATAAGCTTTCGTAGGCACAAAGGGGCCTCTCTGCACCCAGGATCGTACCCCTGCCAGGGGCCTACGTTCCTGCGCCGGGGCCCGGAAGCGCTGGAGCTCTTCAAAGGAGCGGGTGGGATTTCTCCAGCCTGGTTCTCTGAAAGGCTGCACTGTAGCCCGCCTGAGGCTGAGACGCAGCTGGAAAATTTCAGCCCAAGCTCTTCAAATTTGGTCAAGTTATATGCAGCCGAAAACAGGGGCTGATAATGGAACAATCAGGTCACCTTAGCTGCAGATGGCCCTGCCCATTTCACCTGTAAGAGCCTGGCACAGCCGGGACTGGGCACTTTCAATACACTCTGTGCCCTGGCCCCTCACAACTGTGGAGCACGGGGGTGTCTTGATACAGAGAACAAGCCACAGACAGGCAGCAAACTGCTAGCTCCTGTGCAGGAGACCCCAGAGCAGAGAGCGACCTTCACCTGGCAGCGGGTTCCATTCCGAGATCACAGGGAGTGGCTGCATTGTGCCCTCTGACAACGCAGTTTGTTCCTGGATCTCAAAAACGTTTTACCAATCCGGTTAGTGATTGCGTAGGGCATCCCAGTGCTCCTTGGACATTGACTAGGGCATCCATTCACCATTCTCCCAGCAGTGGGGGGTGGGGAGCTCTGTTATGCCCTTTAAACAGATGAGGAAACTGAGGCACGGAGCAGAACTTGCCCATGGTAACACAGCAAGTTTAGTCATTTGCCCCAGACAAGTCACTAATACTCCTGAGAATGGAAACAAGGAGCTCTGCCCACCTGCTTTGCTCCAACCACTAGATCCCGCTGCCCTCCCAGAGCTGGCAGGAGAGCTCGGGGGCCCTGACTCCCAGCCCGGGCAGTCACAGTTCTCTGTGGTCTCAGACAGTCCTCGTCAGTGACAGCAGAGAGCAGGTCAGGGGGCCGGGGGCCGGGAGATTAGAAGGGCAGCACAGGGCACTCTGCACCATGCTGGAGGCGGCCAAGGGGAGGGTGCTGCGGGATACCCCCATGGGGGCAGAGCGGGAGCCCACCTGCGCTGCTTGTGGCACCAGACTCTGTTGATGATCATCAGCACGACGACGATGAAGAGGAAGACGACGACGGCCGTCAGCCCCACCAGCCAGGGCTGCAGCGTCTGGGAGCCTGCCGTGGTGCCCTTCACTGCACCTGCCAAACCACAGGGAAGGGGTGGGTTGGGAGGGGCCCTGATCCCTGAGGCCCAGGACCCCTCTCCCCATAACCCTGGGGGAGCTGGTGCCCAAGGGGGGTTCCCTGGGCTGCTTCACCAGCTGCACTGTGGGCAGCCTTCCACTCCCCATGGGATGTGATCTGGGGGACTGAGCCCTCCCCAAGCCATCTCCAGCACCCCACAGCCCTGCTTGCTCTCAGGGCTCCCAAAGCTCGCACCCCAGAGCTCAGCCCCGGGAGCACACACCCAGGGCTCTGTTTAGACTCATCTCCTGCCTCCGTCTGCCAGCAGCCCAGCCCTGTGCTCTCCCTCCCCCGCTCAGTCTGTCCCTACCATCCTGGGCCTGCGAGGCGGCGATGCAGAGCAGTGCGAGCGACAGGACATGGAGAGGAGACATGGTGCCCCGCTGGCCTGGTGGCTGCCTGTTGTCCCGGGCGCCAGGCGCTGTCCCAGCCCAGGAGTGGCACCGGGATCGCGTGAGGACGAATCTGAGCTCAGCCCCCTCCCGCCAGGCAGCGTCCGCACCCAGCGCACGAACCCGCCGTCTGATCGCGCAGGGACGCCAGCCAGGGGGTTTATTGTGCTCAAGAGGGCAAATGCCAACTCCTGTGTTCAAGGCACCATGGCAACCAGATCCCTGTAACCCTTTGGAGGCAGCGGGAGAAAGGGGCAGGCGTTCCAGGCCCATGCAGGGAGCTGGGTGACGCTTTTCAGGCGAATCGTTTATTTGCTGCCCAGCTCCCGCTCAACCGACCCAGAACGCCCAGACGTGACGTGGTCAGGCCCGGCCAGCAAGCTGGGCAGCATTTCTCCTAGCCACTGGGGGGGCACTGCAGTGCTGAGATGCCAGAGAACCCCCCCCCCCCCCCCCCCCC